AGTTTTTCACCAGGTTTGCACACACTGCAGGAGGGATTTTGGCCCACTGCTCCACAAAGATCAACTCAGGATCAGTCAGGTTTCTGGGCTGTCGCTGAGTGCCAACCCAAATGTAGCAAGGAAAGTGAGTTGTTGCTTTACGGAGTTTGAGCTCCCTCCAAAGATTCTCTATTGTGTTTAGGTCTGGAGACTGGCTAGGCCACGCCAGAACCTTGATATGCTTTTTACAGAGCTGCTCCTTGGTTATTCTGGCATGTGCTTGGGTCATTGTCATGTTGGAAGACCCAGCCTCCACACATCTTCAATGCTCTGATTAAGCGAAGGTTTTTTCCCCCAAAATCTAGCAATACATGGCCCTGGTCATCCGCCCAATGCAGTGCAGTTGCCCTCTCCCATGTGCAGAGAAAAAAACCCAAAGCATGATGCTACCACCCCCATACTTCACAGTAGGGATGGTGTTCTTGGTATGGAACTAATCATTCTTCTTCCTCCAAACACAGAAGAATTATGACCAAAAAGTTCTATTTTGGGTTAGGGTGACCACATGACTTTCTACCATGACTCCTCTGGATCATCCAAATGGTCATTGACAAACTTAAGTCAGACGTTGACATGTGTTGGCTTAAGCAGGGGAACCTTCCATGCCATGTATGATTTCAAACCATGACGTCTTAGTGTATTACCAACGGTAACCTGGAAACGGTTATCCCAACTATTTCAGGTCATTGACCAGCTCCTCCCGTTTAGTTCTGGGCTGATTTCTCACCTTTCTAAGGATCATTGAGACCCCACGAGGTGAGATCTGGCATGGAGCCCCAGTCTGAGGGAGATTGACAGTCATGTTTAGCCTCTTCCATTTCCTAATGATTGCTCCAACAGCTGACCTTTTTTTCACCATGCTGCTTTCCAGCCTTAAGGAGGTGTACAATTTTGTGTCTAGTGTCTTTGGACAGCTTTTTGTTTGGTCTTAGCTTTGTTAGTAGTTGGATTCTTTCTGATTGTATGGGGTGAACAGGTGTGTTTATGCATCTAACGACCTCAAACAGGTGCATCTAGTTTAGGATAATAAATGGAGTGGAGGTGGACATTTTGAAGGCAGACTGACAGGTTTTAGAGGGTCAGAATTCAAGCTGATAGACAGGTGTTCAAATGCTTATTTGCAGCTGGAACATACAAATACATAGTTAAGAAATTATAGATTGTGATTTCTGGATTTTTTTTTTTTTCTTTTCCTCACTGTATTTATTTCTAATATCATTTTACCCATTTAACAAATAAAGCCATTACTTTTAATTTATATATTATGATATTATTATATTATGGCAGAAGATGATCCAATATTTGTGGAGGGCACTGTTGCTTTTATTGTGTGTTTTTTTTTTTAGCTCTTCTGTATTTTGCTAGAAGGATGCCTCATGAGGAGAATCAAAGGTGCCTCTCTGGATATTAATTATTATTTGATTAAAGTTTATAACCTACTTTGTATTTGTTTTGTAGGAGTTTGCCAGCTAACTCTAGGTAGGATTGTATCCATTTCTCTGCCTTGTGCGGTCCAGTGGCTATTAATTGTCTGCTATCATTGTAGTTACTTTCATTATTTCTGTGTGTCAACAAATGTCTTTCTAATTATTCTTTGTCTTTTAAATCCAGCACTGTTTTCTCGTCCTAATATTCATCACCTCTATTGTATATATATGTCCTTTTTTTCTATTCTAGCTTCCTCAGAAATATATTTTAAAAATATCCATATGTATATATATCTGCTTTTCATCAGCATGTATCACAGTGTAGTTGCTTTCACCTGTGTCCAGTCCAAGTTTAAATGTTTTTAGTACGGACAGAATCCTCTAATTTTTCAGAAATGGCTTCCTTCCCATCTAAAGTTGCTCTAATTTTGCAGTATAATTGACCCATTAGCTGATTAAACACATGCTGTTCAGCAGCTGTGACTCTCCTAAAAACAATACAACCACATTTGCTGTTTAAAATAAGCACAGACAGTTCCTCATATTCATCATTTTTCAATCTTCTTGGTCTTGATTGTTTTTGGTGTTTGCTGAACTGCCTGTACCGGCTGACGTCTGTAAACATCTGTCTAAGTGCTTGTAGTAAAACTTATACAAATTACTTATACCCGGTAATATTATTTCTGTTCATTAACCGCAATGTTTTCTCCCACACAGAAGTAACCATCACCACATTATTTTATTCTTATTAGGCATGCTCACAAAAAACTGGCTGTCACCAGGTTGCCTTGCAGTCGACCGTCCATGCAGTGTGTATTGAAATGTCTTAATAATCACTGTCTTACCGCTCTTCTTTTTCCACTTTTTTGGTTTCCATCTGCTGTTAGTGTTGTTGGTTTGACTTCATTGCTTGGACTAAACAATTTACCGTTGCCTCATAATAAATGTAATTAAACCCAAATTGTTAATGTTTAACTAACTCTATTTAGCTAAGTTTGGAAATATTTTATAAATGAGTCATAATGATGTGTATGTAGATGAGATTTTCCTTTGGTTTAGGAAATATATAGAACTTGAGTTGATGTGGTCACGCATCGCATGGGTGATCTCGTCATCTCAACCCATGCATGTGCTGTGGTGTTTTAATCCAGTTTTCTCCTATTCCTTACCTCTTTATAACCAATTTTTACCCGTTGGTCTTTGACCTTTAGCTTTCAGACTTCCTCTGCTTTTTTTATTATATCCACAGGAGATGAACTGCTCGGTATGGATGGAGCACGCTATTTAAAACTTGATGACTTCAAAGACCAGGATGATGACTTTCTTTCTCCAAAGAAAACTCTCAGAGATTTTGACAGTGGCACGGGTACAACGTAAGTCAGTTTTCTAGGGTTTTGACTACACATGCAGGTTGATTTATACATTTTTAAAAGTTCCTTTTATATATTTATAAAAACAAGTATAATGGTGAAGATTCACAAAGCTATTTGTATAATTCAAATGTGTGCAAACCAGAATTTTTGCCATCCTCTAACTCTGCTGATGTTCTGCTCCTAATATACCTTTAATGAGCAAATAGTTTCTCTTAACTGATATGCCTTACAAACACCTATATGAGGTAGTATTCCGCATTTGAGATCAACAATAAACACTTGTTTATATACATTTATCTAAATTACATTCGAGGGAAATAACATCGGGTTCCCAAAAACCTGAAATAAGCATTTGATTAGCTATAACCTCTAAATGTTCTTGGTAACATGTTTGCTTAGTGTTATATTTAACTGTTTTTACTTAATTTTAGTATATTTTTGCTTTTGTAGCCCGTTATCCTCCTTTTCCTGAAAAGGCTGCAGTTGTCAAGTTTTCCTGTCATGACAAATAAAGCATTTTTTTGCTGGAAGAACACAATAATTAAAGTAAAAACAGTATCAAAATCCTTCGAACTCAATGCATATAAACACCCTGCAACAGAATATAAATCTTTCTCTGGTTTTGTGTGTTGGCACATTTTAAAACCCATTTGGTTCTCCCCTGATTAGATATCTAACAAATAAAATGTATGATTATTAATATTGTGAAAAGTACATATTTTGTGCTCTAAGTCCAAGGCTGTGGAGATGAGGATCATGTTTTGCTGTCTCACGAACAGTGGTTGTTCTGTCTTTAAATAAAATCAGATTTGCAAATTTTTCCTAATTTTTTTGAAAAACAATTAATGAGACTGTGATATATTCTATGTGCTATGGTTTATCAAACATTCATCAATCCTTGTAAGTCGGATTACGCAATTCATTTAGCACTATTATTTGAATGCATCTGATTATTTTGTTGTAATACCATAACTATGCTACAGTATAACAACAACAACAAAAAAAATCAAGATTTGTTTTCTCATCTCCTTCCTCTCAGGCCATACTCTCCTGCTATTCCCAGGATTCCCTGTGTCTCACCAGAGACAGTGCAGCTTGACCAGGTATGCATTACACTCATTCTTCCTCAATAAAATTATCATTTGAAAACATTCTCAGAGAGATAAACTGTTTGTTTTCATCCTTTCTGATGAATTTCTTACATTCCAAAGTATTTTTAAGGATTATTTTCTTTCTTCGTCTCTTTCTAAGTCTTGATCTTCACCATTTACTACTTTGTTTTGTTGTTTTTAACCAGTACACGCCCATCCCTTTACCAAAGGAGTATGATGAGGATTCGCTTATCCCGAGCAGTCCAGCTACTGAAACCTCAGATAATGTCAGCCCGGTGGCCAGCCCCATTCACACTGGGTAAAACAAAAAATAAATTATTGTGCTTTTTGCTAATAATCATTAAACTGTATATTAAGAAGCTGACAGTAATACTATATGAAACTGAGCTGGTAACTGTTAATGCTTAGGTTCCTGGTGAGTTTTATGGTGGATGCACGCGGAGGCTCCATGCGAGGAAGCAGACACCACGGCTTGCGGGTGATTATCCCTCCGCGAACCTGTGCCGCACCGACTCGCATCACCTGTCGTCTTGTTAAACCACAGAAACTGACAACGCCTCCTCCGCTGGTGGAGGGGGAGGGCCTGGCTAGTCGGATCATTTCCCTGGGGCCATCCAGTATGCAGTTTCTGGGGTGAGTTGAAGTTTATTGGGTCAATGTATGTATGTATCAGCACTGTAATGCAGTTTGGAAAAATGTGGAGCACAAAGAATATTTATTGTTTTACAAGGTTGGGAAGTTATGGAAAGTAAAGGGCTTTTATAATTATTTGTATTTTCAGATCTAATACCATAATCTATTGTCTGGAAAGAAAATATTTAAATTTCCCAAAAAGTGGAACCTACCATCCATCCATCCATCCATCCATCCATCCATCCATCCATCCATCCATCCATTCATCCATCCATCCATCCATTCATCCATCCATCCATCCGTAAATGGTTAGGACATACAGTGTTAGACATTAAGTTCACATTTGTGGGTTACAGGTAATGTGTTAAATGCAGGAAAAATGAGTGATCATAATGATTTCAGACAGCTTTCAAAGTACAAATTGTTATTATGTCTATTATAAATGAAAATTGTGTGTTGTGTTCCTGGTCTACAGAAGTCAGTATCTTATAAAAGCTGTCATACAAAGGCTCTCATGTACATATGTGAAAGCATAATGGGCAGATGGGGAATGAAGAGTAGGCCATTTTCCACTTAGTGTGCTACTGTAGCCATAGATAAAAACAACCATCTCGTTCAGTTTTCAGTAATTCTTAATACTTCTAGTCACTGTGTTTACCGCTGCCTAACACAAATTTTTAGCAAAGCTTGCAGCAAGTCCCCAGTGATCCCAGAATACAATGCAGTGGGACTTCTGTCTCTATTCCTTATAGCTACTGAAGAAGAAGTTAATGGTTCGAATAAGTCAATGTTGGTACTAATACAAATGCAATACAACATAATGCAGTTTTTAGCATATGGGCCTGCATGCTTGTCATAATATTAAGACTGGTCTGTTAGTCAGTTTTGGATAGTGTTTGCAAATATCCTAAATAATATCCTTCTTTCTAGCAAGCAAAAATCTGTAATGTTAGCTTTGATGCTTTTGTCCATTACAGAAGATTCTTGTATGAAACTATTAAAAACCAAAAACTACAACATAACTGGAGGATATGTAATTGACTCCATTTGCTCCACTGACTTGTTGTTGTCTCTTAATCTAACCTAATTACATTTAAGACTTTTCATACAAGTTACTTTTACCTTTACAGGCCTGTTATTGTTGAGATCCCCCACTTTGCCTCACTGGCACGTGGAGACAGAGAACTAGTGGTCCTCCGAAGTGAAAACGGCTCAGTCTGGAAGGAACATCGCAACCGCTATGGAGATGAAGTGCTGGAAACAATTTTGAATGGCATGGATGAAGGTCAGCATTATATTATCTGTTGTCTTTCAAACAATATTGCATGTTTCTTGTAAAATTGAAAGGAACTTTATTTAAGGTAGCTGTCTCGACGCCTAACTTATCTTGATTTCCATTGTAAAATTACAAAAAATAATAATTTTGCTTTCCTATGACTTTTTTTTTTTTTTTTTTTTACCTTTGCTGTAGACTTAGAGAGTCAAGAGGAATTGGAGAAGAAGAGAATACGTCGAATCATCTCTACCGACTTCCCCCTCTACTTTGCTGTTGTCTCTCGCGTTCAACAGGAAAGTGATCTTATTGGCCCAGAAGGCGGGCGTCTCATCAGTAAGCTGGTTCCCCATGTGGAGGCCATCTTCCCAGAGACTGCCGTCACCAAGAGAGTGCGGCTGGGATTGCAGGTAACAATATAAGAATCCTTGCAGCATATGTTGAGATAATTGCGTGGATATTTGAGTCTTAGAGAGAGAAAAAAATTGGGTCAAAGGTAGCATAATAACCAGATGGCTTAATGTTGTCTATCATTGCTTTAAGCCATTTAGCTGTCCCTTTTTTGGTAAACTAATATACCAATAACCTGTAGGACCTGTGCTGATATCATGCTTTCATGTTAAGAATGTTTATGTTCAACAGTTCTCTTTATGCCCCATCTGTAAATTATCCTCTACCTGAGCTAAATGATATGAAAACTGATAAAGACTGTTTGTTAAAGTGATATTTTAAGCCCTATTTAAACAAAAAAAAAAAGCTAATTGAACATTAAATTCACACATATATATTCACATGAAATTGGTTTAAATTTTGAGTGAGATAGAGGCTTTCATAACAGAGCTTAAGGTTCTTATGCTCTTACTTTTCTTACATTTGAAGCAGCAAAAAACTTTTTATACATGCAACGAGAAAAGAATTTGTGATATTATCCTAAATGAAAGCTCAGTTGTCACTGCAATGTAATGTAATGATAGTACAAAGAAAATTTTTCTTACCTTATTTTTCATTTGGGCTGCTGTATTAATGCTACATTATACATCAAAACGAGGCTCTTTCTAATTTATATCAGATCTACTGATAAAATTAATATATTAATATCTGATGTAATGAAAAAAAAACTAATATTGTTCCAGCTGTTTCATGTCTTTGAGACATTACATTTGTTTTAGTTGATATACTGATTCCATCAGGCCCTCAGAGTCTTCCAAATAAGAAATTTGAGTCTATGTCAGGTGAATTGATCAAAAATAATAATACTGTAAAAACATTTTTGTTTAGATTTAGATATGCATTTTTTTATTTGAGGGTATACATATTTGTGAATGGTACAACATGATGCAGGCTTTACTTTTTCCATTGAAGTTGGAAATTACTCCTGAGAACTCTGCAGGTGCTTATATGTTTAATAAGTTTATAGGGTTTTTAAATTTCAGATATGAACTGGGAATGAGGATAGCGAAGTCTTTAAAACAGGAAACATATAGAGCCTGGTTTAGAATAAAAAACATGGAGCGTGAGAAGAGTACCAGGAGGAATCAGTGATGAACAATGAAAACTAGGAAGCTTATTGGGAAAGACTGGAGAAGGACATTGGATTCATATACGGATTCATATATGCTAGCAAAACAGGGAGTCTGAGGTAGGGTTAATAAAAAACACAGCAGGAACCAAGCTTAACACAAAGGAAACAGGGGTTTCAAAAAGACTGATAAAGATATGAGAAAATAATCAAGAATGCTGAGAACAAATAAAAACTTTGCCATCATCTCTGAATTAGTCCTGTAATTCTAGCAACACTTATTTAGCTAATGTGAAAACTGATATTTCAAGTGATCACTACCAAATTCCACTGGACACAAGTACATTTTAAGTTTGAAAGATTAATTCTTAACTATTTAAATGGTACCCTAATCCATAGGCCTACTTTGTTTGAACATACTATAATAAAGCTTTGATAACTGAACTCCTCAAATACTGTTCATACCTCAATCATTGTTACATGACCAAAGAATGCAACATAGAACCAATGTTTGCTCCTAAAGAATAAATTGAGATGAACTGAAAAGTATATGAGACGTTGGTAGGCATAAGGAACCACTCATTCTACCTTTTTTTATTTTACATCAGCCTTTGCAGTTTTTTGTTTTGAATACATCGGTGCACCCTAACAACATGTTTTTCCTTGTCAACAGTCAATGTAAAATAGGCTGCATGATTCTGCATTTTGCTCTGCCTTACACTGCTTTTTATGTTTTCCTTTTATCCAGCCGTTCGTCTCTCTTCAGTTGCCTGATTTAAGTTGTGAGCCACACTGACTGAGCTAATGCACACATGTGAAATGTGGCTTTGTTGCATGCGTGAGTATGGCTGTGAGTTTGCTGTTTCACACTTATTTTTTCTGTTTTCTTTTTGCATTAGTGCCACACTTCTGTCCTTTGGGATTTGATGCTCTGTTTTTCTGTTTTTGTTCGTTTTATCCTGAAGTCATATTAGTCTTATCTTTAAAGAGTTTTCTCCTAGGTGTTCTTAAAAAGCCTTTGTACCTCTGAATAAACTTTAGGCACAACCAATCCCTGATGAACTGCTAACTAGACAGCTTGGGAACCAAGCAACCTTCAGCCCAGTGGTTACAATCGAACCTCGGCGACGCAAGTTTCACCGTCCAATTGGACTGCGCATTTCTTTACCCCCATCCTGGAAGGAAAGCCCACGGGATGCTGGCGAAGGAGACACCACCAGCTTGCGCCTCCTCTGCAGTGTCATAGGTACTGTAAGAAAAGTCTCAAAAACAAACAGTAATGATACAGTTTAAGGAGTAGAATTTTGTTCCACAAGAAGTATACTGGTTCTCTTAAACTATGAATACACATTGAATGCCTTTAACATTTAGTCACGTTACAATTACAACCATCACTGCATGTTAGTGGGATTTTATGTGATACACAAACAATAGAGTATGTAACTATGAAATGGAAGAAAAACAGTACATGGACTTAATACTTTCTTGCAATCACAAATCTTTTAGATGTTGTGTACATTTGCATTTAACCACTGCTAATGTGATGATAGTTAGAGTTTCTGTTATTGTTATAACTAAAAATAAATCTTTCTGTAATATTAATGCAGCGTAAAACTTCATCCCAATTACGAAAAAATGGAAAATAACTTACCAGATGATTTACAGTGATATTTAAAAAAAAATGTAATGCAACTTGCTGGATCATGCAATTAGCAAGATATAAGAATAAATCCATGTTTTTTATTATTATTATTTTTATAATTTTCTGTAATATTAATACTGCAAAAAACTTTATGCCCACTAGGATACAAATGGAACATGATTTACTAAAGGTTTGAGTGTATAAAACCGCATGCAAACTTGCTATCATGAGCAAAGCTGATCTTCTAACCGGGTACACCTGCATCTGCATGCATTTCTACATCTATAATTAGCATGCCGGAAATATAGGTGCAAACTGTCTCAGGTTTAAAGAGGTAATTTTGAGATGCTGGATCAAGCAAAGGCTGACCCTAAGGTAACCACTAACAGAAGCCATGTCATATCACAATTAAAAATAGCTCATCTTTTTATTTTTTTTGCAACTGGATGGATAATTCCAGCTATGATCACATTTATTGGTTTCTCCCAGACTGTTTTCTGTGGTGTGCTGTCGAGCACAGGGTTGATTTTAGAGATGGTGGCTATAGAGATTCTCCTCACAAGGAATAGATTGGGTGGAAAATAGATTTCACGAAGGCTGTCTTTAAAAAAAATAGTAATAATAATATACCGGTAATAAATTACAACCTACAACACTCAAAAGTTTAAGGGTGCTGTTTTATGTTTGTTTTTTCTTCACAGGAGGCACTTCTATGTGGTTAACTGCTGTCAAAAGGATCATTATCATGTGTTATGAAATACATAGCTTCTCTGTTATCTTTTTAGCTGTTATTCACACATCTGTAGGCGCTTCTTTCACCTTTCTTTCTTGTTATCCAGGTTCTTCTTTTTTTTTTTTCTCATACAAACAGGTTCTTTTTTTCTCCACATAATTGTTGTACCTGTTTTGTGCTTTGCTGTTGCCTCTGGGATATGCCAAATAATTTCACTTTGCTCTCCCAAACACTCCATGGTGAGAGCCAAATCACTAACTCCACATCCAATTTAGTGCTTAATTGGTATCATACTATATCAAGCACATACTGGAGCCAATATCATGATGTTGGACGTTTATCCTCACTGTAAGAGTTCATTATAAGCTGGAAGGAGAAAGCATATTAAATGTGTAACAAACATCAGTCAGTGGCAACAAAAAACTGAGCTTGAGATTCTTGGTTAGGAATAAATTTTAAAATAAAGAATTGCAACTATACACAAAATATATACATTATGCTTTATTATTCAGGTGAGAAATTGGATATAAGAAGGGTGGTTTGTTTCTTTTTTCCATAACTGTATTTTGTCTTTAATACAATGAAATGTGAAAAAAGGTCAGAGGAGAATAAAAAAACAGTTTTTCAGGGCTGTGTAGGAGACTGTATATCTACTCATTGAACACATTCTTTGTTTTTGGGACTAAGGTGGAACAGCTCCAGCTCAGTGGGAGGACATCACTGGAACCACCAAGCTGATGTATGCAAATAATTGTGCCAGTTTTACCACCAACGTGTCTGCAAGGTAAACAACACAGGCTGAACTGCCTGAAAAAACAAATTCAATCGCCCTTCTTCTCTCTTTCCCTTATTTATATGAAAATATTTTTCAAATTAATGTTTTTCTTTCCTCTTCCTATCCAGATTTTGGTTGGCAGATTGTCCGCGCACAGCAGAGGCAGTTACTTTTGCCAACCTGCTGTATAAGGAGCTAATGGCAGTCCCGTATATGGCGAAATTTGTTATTTTTGCAAAGATGAATGAAGCACGGGAAGGCAGATTGCGTTGCTACTGCATGACGGATGATAAGATGGACAAGACTCTAGAACTGCATGAAAACTTCACAGAAGTGGCCCGCAGTCGAGATATAGAAGTAAGCACAAAGGATATTTAAAACTGTGATCACAATAAGACAGTGAGAAGTTGGAAAACAATTGTCATTTTTAGATGTTAGAGATCTATCTTTTTTATAATTAGTTTAAAGATGTGAAGGTGGTTTATCATCGCCTATTTGTTTATTATTGATTTTTACAGCTTATGGAGGGCATGCCGCTGCACCTGGAGTGTTCTGGAAATTTGGTTCCCATTCGGAAGGCCACACAGCAACCTCGTAGCTTCAGCTTCCAGGCCTTCAGAGATAACAGACTGCCTGTGTCTGTCAAGGTCTGTCTCTATCTTACTGTTGACATGCCTCATTTTCTATCTCATTCATTCCATTTGGGGTTTTTGTGTTCTGTTTGATTCTGTTTTGCTGTTTTTTTTTTTTTAACACAGCGGATCCTCTATCCTTTCTGACAAACTTATACTTATTTAAGAAGCTAATAGTGAATCATATTAAGGCTTTGAAAAATATAAATATGAAATAAGTATGTATAGAAGGGAAAGAGTTTGAACAACACAGAAAATATTTAACTTACTTGAATAATTATATTGGCATTAAAAGTTATTTTTTTTAAATATCTCCATTGTGTTAATAGTGGAAGAAAATGTGCTGTTTAATCACGTAGTTTGTCTTAATTGTGAATTAATTTAAAAATTAATTTAGAAATAGTGTCCAGATTAATTCCAAATGACTTAATTGATGGCTTGCATTCTTGCACTTATGGTCCCCCCCAAAAAATAAATGTAAATACATCAACTCTGGCTGTGGTGAAGCCAACAAAACATTAGTCAATCTACTTTGCTTACATTCAAAAATGGATTGCTACTTGTTTGTCAATCAAAAATGTTGTGTATGTCCCATAATAATGTTATTTACTTAGGCTGCAAGCGTAACTCATTCGCTGTTTGGCTAGTGGCCGCCATTACGCCAAAGCACGAAGAAGTACTCCTACGCTTGTTTGCTGCTGCAGGGTTTTTTTCAGCTATTTGTTCAATCTTTTGTGTAAACTGGAGTATCAATGGCCGAAAAGAATCCTGGCAAAACTAATCTGAAAAAGACGCAGCAAGAGCACATCAACAAATTGAAAATATAACTTGCAGTGATAAAACCGGCAGAGACCTCTTTTTTCACTGAGATTTCCAGTTGACTAGGTGCATCCTGGCACTCTGTTGCCTCTCTAGGGTAAATACAAAATTACCAGCTGAGGCGTTTCCAGAATAGAGAAGTTTTGCTAAGGAGGGGAGGCTGAGGCATGCGCTCAATTCAAAAATACACAAACAGCATTTGGACATATCTTCCACCACAGAATCCTCTTTCATGCCTTTAAGTTTGTGTCAAATTTGTCTAGACAATTTTCAAACAACCTGACTACATTTAAAAGTTATAAATTGATCAGAGCAAAACTGTCAGAAAAGTTTTATAGAAGGAAAAAAAGGGGTTAAGAGAAGAATAACATACAAATGTTATCAAGGATTCTCTACGCAAAATATGAAGTGCAACAAGAGCTTCTGAGTCTGGCCATTTGTCAAAGAAAAAAATAATTACATTAAATAAAGATGAGCGCACAATCCATTTTTTTCTTCAAATTTTCATTTTTATTGCAAAATAGAAATCAACTTACTGTTTATCTCTTTTTATTTCTATAAATGAAAAACAAAAATACTGCTGTTCTTTTTTTTTATTTTTATTTTATTTTAGGTTTTAAATGAAAACAACAAACTACTAATACTTTTCATGGTTTTATGTTGAAAATAGAGAGAATCTATATCAAATATGTAGAGAACTTGTTCTTAATTTTAACCAAAAGGTCTTTTAGGTTTTGGGGTTTTTTTTGTGGAAAGTGACACCTCCTGAACAACAAAAACTGTGTGCTGTCATAAAAGCAATGTGAAGATAGAATCATGCTTTGGGTCCATTTTGATCCCTATAATCTAGAGCAAAAAAGTAATTATTGTTACCATAGCAAATATTTGAATAGGTATTACTTATCCTTACCTTAACTTTACTTTAAATTCCTTTTAATAAGCTTTTTAACTTTATATTTCCTACTTCCTTTTTAATCCATACTGGTAAGGTTCAACAACAAGTTGTATTCAAATAGCCCAGCCCACACCTCAATAGCGCTCCAGAATGATATTAAGCCAATCCTCGGAAGCAAATCCGAAATCAATAACCATCTTGCCTTGTCTAATGTGTGATCATATTGATGTACTTTCATTTTGTTGAACAGTATTTATCTCCTCCCCCCCAAGTAAAGTCAGTTTTCCCCTCATCCATGTCTGTTGGTGTGACTTATTGTACTGTCTGTTATCACCTACCTGAATTCTTGTAACCATGCAACAAACAACTTACCTATCTATCCCTTGACTCTGGGGTAATTGTTTGCATGTCCTGTGTCTCCCTCACTTTCTTTGCCTGCCTTCCAATCTTTGCGGCCCTGCCTCTCTGTACGTGTCTGTCTCACTGTCTCTCTCTCTTTCTCTCATGGTCACTCTGTAACTGTCTGATCTGACAGACGCCCAGGTAAAATGTGCAGGTAAATCTCTCTCTCTTGCCTGCCTGTGGACTGCTTCCATCCCTGTTTCCCCCCTGCTTCTTGTTACTGCGCGCCAACCTCAAGGCACTGTGGAAAGATCTAATTTCCCTTTCTGATTTGTCTGTCTTCTCCCCTTGCTGCTCTTTCCTTTTCTCTTCTCCAATCTAACACTTTCTAATTTGCATCATCTGATGCTATCTTTCTTTTACTCTTTTATTTTCTGCTCTTTTCTTTATCTACTTCTCTCTATTTTCCTTCTCCTTTTATTCCACATTCTATGCTCTATCTATACTAGGTCAGGGATAGCAACAAGGAAGCCACTGGGTTTCTGTCTTTTCTGAGGAAATGCACAAAGTATGAGGACTCGCAACATGTCCTCTGCAACCTTAATATAACTATGCCACCTTGTGTCAAGGTAAGAGCTTGCCATAATGAATTCTGCAACATGCATGAAAACATGAAAGTCTTTGAAACACTTGAAATTCTATTTGTCCTAGGTTAAAATGTTATCTGTCACTTTATGTAGTGCAGTTCTTTTTACAGATATTGGTGTTTTTTGTAAAAACAAAAGGAGCCTTGATTACAGGTCTGACCTGATGCTGCCCATAGATATCCATAATAAAGGCCTTTATTATGGATATCTATGATGCTGCCCACCTATATTCTATTTACAATTTAGGCTTAATCTTCAATTTTTGGGCACTTGGTGAGTTAGAAGATGATCAAAATTAAGTCAGTTGTTTTTAATAAAATCTCAGATGCCGTTAATCTCCATTTGGTGGCATGGCCCTAATCAGTCTCCTTGTAGATAGCATCTGATGCATTATTTTGTCCATCATTAAAAACATACATCCATGGACTTTTCTGAATAGCTGCTAAAACTTTAACTGGTCCTGTTTATTTTGGTCCGATGAAACAAAAACTGTATTTTTCTACAGTAACTCTGGATCTGGTGCAGAACAAAAGTTAAAATTGTAGAAAAGCATCTGGTGACGTATGTGCAGTGAGCTGAAGCATTTGTGATGATGTGGACTTGTTTCTTTCCAAAAGCCCAAGTAAAGTCCTTGAGTTAAAGGCTGAATTTATAAAAGCATTCAATATAAAGAAGTTGTTAACAGAAAAGAAATATTTCTTGGCTTTTTCAGAGACATAAATAATTTTAGGCAAAATAAAATACAGTTTTGCTACTCAGTCTTAAGTTCAAAATTCCTCTCCTTAACTTTGAAAATAAATAGAACTTAAATCTTTACTTATAGAAACAGATGAGTTGTGTTATAGTTTAAGTCATTCAGCCAATAATTGTCTAGCATAAAAATCTATTTTTATAAGTTCCTTTAATTAATTCCTGTCTTAGGTTGCTGGTAGCGAAGAACGAAGACGAACTTTAACTCCTTTGGCCCTAAGAGAGCGCTACAGTGCACTAAATGAGCCTGGTGTGGGTAAGTCTTACCTTAAGTCATTACCTGTACTTTAGCCCTCTCCTCATAGATACACACAGGAGATGGGCATAGAATGTTGCTCTGCCCCCTTTGCCCAGACCCCTGCTTCCCTTATCTGCCCCAATGTTCCCCTCTCTGCCCTTATTTTTCTCATGTGCACGCATGGCACAAAGACTAAGCCTTGGATGCAATGCACTGCTGTACAGTGTGCCCCAGAGTTTGTGGCAGTGCAGTTACAGGAAAGCACACTGAATGTGTGGCTGAGAGACAAGCAACAGTCTGGAACGTGGCCTGAAATAGCTCCATGGCACCTGGAAAGTTCTTTTTTTTCTTTCCTAAGTGCCTTGGAGGTTAAAAAAATGACTTCTGTGATTGGTTAGGCATGGCGCTGGTGTCTCCACTGTGACATCCGATGGCATGGCAGCAGATATATTAGCTTTATTAGCTCTGAGAATGAGCAGGACCTCCCAGTGGAGCTAGACAGAGGAGCCCTCTGCACTGGTTTTTATTTAATCACTAAAGTTGGTAAAAACTTATGTTATTTCCTGAGGAAAGATAAAAGGTCTCTTCTGTCTATCAAATACACAGCGCTGCTATATTGCACCTTGGTCTCTCTGTAATGTTTACGGAATGCTACTATTATTGGAACTAACATTTCAATGAACCCCAAAGTCTGACATGGTGTGCCCACATTGTGTCCTAACATTGATGATAACATGGATAATAACAGTGTTGTGAGCAATCGTATTTACGTCAGCAGAGCAAAAAGGTAGGTACCATCATAAAATCTTCTCAAAATGTTTCCCTTTTAGGGTTTACATGGTTTACTGCTGTTATCAGTTCTTATATAGCTACAATATATACAAATTTTCTAGAAAGGCCCGAGTATATCAGAGTTATAAGAAGAGGGGCATTTCTTGACAATGAACCACAATTAAAATGCTTTCTTTAGAATTTTGACAAGAATCAATACAATACAGTACTTTTCATCAGAGATGCATGGATACAAAAACAGGAAGCTGAAATGAGTTCTCTCCACAGAGTGGCTGGGCTCTCCCTTAGAGAAAGGGTGAGGAGCTCAGTCATCTGGGAGTTCAGAGTAGAGCCGCCTCTCCTTCACATCTAGGGGAGTCAGCTGAGGTGGCTCGGACATCTTTTCCCAATGCCCCATGGTGTTCCAGGCACATCCAACAAGGACAAAGCCCAAGACACACTCGGAACTATGTCCCTCAGCTGGACTAGGAGCGCATTCCGGCATCCCCCAGCAGAGCTGCAGAAGGTGTCTGCGGAGAGGGAAGGCTGGGACTCTCTACTGAAACCTCTGTGACCCACTCCTGCATAAAACAAGACGAGGAGTGGGAGAAATACTTGTTCAACTTTAGTAGTTTGATAGCGTAGCACCTCCCCTACTGTCCAATCACATTCTGAATGCTGCTGTACATTCTGTTCACTCTGTGTCCTAACAGTCCCACAGATGGATCAACAAAGTATAGGCTATGAATATGTATGCAAAAGTAATATGTCTGTAATACTTTTGCAACAAACAAAAAAGAATATTGTCATAATGGGTTATCGTGTCTAGAATTTAAATTAAAGAAATTAATCTAATAACATTTGGATAATGACAGTAATATACCCATGTAAGGAAAAAGAGCAGCACTTTAAATACTTGCTGGAAGCACTTTGTCCCATTTATAATTGCTAAATTATATACAGGACTATTACATAAAGCAAGGATTTTATTAGAATCACTTTCCATGCTTTTAGGGACTGACACACTAATACCAGTTTTTAACTCATCTGCTCACTAATGTTTGTATTTTACTGTATAATATATAAGGTGTTTAGCCTCTGTTTTGATATGAATAATTAAGGTCATAGTTTAGTATTCTTCCAGTTACTCATATTGATCAACCTTAAAACAAAATTTAACGAAGGTTTTTTTCATGCTTAATGAACTCAGTGCTCTGCTTCCAGCCTGATTAAAACCATATTACTTACTCTACTGCTGGGCCGTTACTAGAGCAGGTTATACTGAACAGTCTTGGAGCTGCAGCAGCCAATACAGTTTCCCTGTTAATTCACTGTGGACAGAACTGTAAACGATGAAAAGCATTTAGATTGTTAAGAGAAAAATATAAACAAAAAGGTTTTAGATATGCACAATAGAGATTTGAAAGCCATTCACATTGGGTAGGGGATTTTAGAAAATGGCTTCACTAGAAACCAATGTCGGATATTAAAATGCTGGTCTCCTTTGTCTGATTCCAATTATAATATTAAATCCCAGATATGAGAACCTGGAATTAAGTATATTTAAATTATTGTTTTTATTGCATGTTTTTAAGGGCTTCTAAACTGCTCTAATTTTCTCTTTAGCTTCAGTCAACGCCATGGAGAGGACGGAAATCAAAATCCATATTATTTCTGATCAGCTGGGTTTAAGCTGGGCAGGTTAGTTCCTTCAGTTATATACAGGCATGAATTAATATGGTGGACAGTAAAAAAATGCCACTTCAGGTTTGTCTTCACTCATGGAGAGTTCCCTTATTGTTATTTTTCAGGTCATCTTGAGTGACTTTAAAGTTAACAGAGCATGATTTTTTTTGTATCGTAATATTTTTATTTACAGGTGCAAATATCTAGCTTATTTGATTTTTTTCTGTTTTAATATTCTTGTTTCTCCTCATTTAAGAGTTGGCACGAGAGCTTCAGTTCAGTGTTGATGACATCAACAGGATCCGTGCAGAAAATCCAAACTCACTGTTTGACCAGAGCTCTGCCCTCCTCAACCTGTGGGTCAGCAGAGAGGGTAAAAAGGCCAAAAGTGAGTGTTTGTGCCGCATCTCCAAATTCTTCCTATGTGTAGTAACTGTCTGAAATCATAGAGCCCATCTGTTGAGGATTTAATACAGTGTTTAAAACTTCGGGAGGCAGTGGTGAGTTTCTCGATGATTTAATAGTAGGTAAACAAACAACTGAGGCAGCAATCCAAAAATCAAACAAGAAAACAGAGTCAAACAAACCAAAACCATGGAGACATCTGGGGGAAACAATCACGAGGAGAAAGACTCAATGAGACAGAATTGGAGGAAGTTTGACGAGGAACCAGCACTGAATAAATGCACAGAGAGAGTATTTATGGGAGACTGAAACAAAGAGAAGGCTAACGAGCAGATTGGGAGCAGGTGTGAACAGAGCAGAAACAGGAAAGGTGCTAGGGGAAAAGGAGAACACAAGAGGGCAGCAGAGGGCAACAAATAAAAACCTGTAAACTGAAAATAACCAGAAAACACAGCAAAATAAGAATTAAAACACTAAAACTAGAAAACGTGGAACAAAGTAAAACTGAATACTCAAAAGAAAACATAACAAAATCAAGACTGTGACATAGAGACAAACATAGGAGGCAAAATAACAAAATAAATGTATCTATATAAAGAGAAGCACTCGTATAAAAGGGACATTGACACAAGCTTTGTTTAGAGAAGCAACACTTTATATTTAACAGGAAGATACAAGGTGAAATATATTGCATAATCTGTTTTTTGATTCTTGAGACATAATCTACATGTACTCTCTTGTTTTAATATTTCCAAGTGTAGAGTATTTATCAAAGTTGAATCAAGTCATTTTTTTTGTGGCACAACATAAACAATAACAGGCCAGAATAATTACCCCGGAATCAGTTTACCAAAGTACAGTAAAACAATGGTAGGGTCACATAAAATAGCTACAAAAATAAATTTTCACACTAAGAGGCCCAAAAATATTCCACTTAACTACTATTGAAAGGAAATAATAAATAATGACTTTTAAGAATGAATAGAAATCATCTGTGGAGCTGTAATGTGCAAAACTAAGTAGTTTAGCAGAATATGTTCAACTAGATTGAAAACTATTTTCTACTTTGCTGCCTGGATCTGGGAATGTCTGAATTGTCTTTCGTGAAAGACATAATTTAACTTTGCACCTTTCTTTCATGCTGCCCTTGTTTCTCGCTTTTTCCTTTCCCTGTGCTACTCAGTGGAGAGTCTGTACACAGCTCTTAAGAACATTGACCGTGCAGACATCGTATCTTCTCTAGAGGGTCAGCCCCCACAGCAGGGGCCTGGGATGTCAGAAGAGGGTGCCTGTCGTCTGGCTGACAGAGACTCAACATTGCTGTCCCCCAGTGTCCTTAATGGTAAGAGAGACAAACACAGTATATGTACATTGTATGTAAATATATACATTTATTAGCAAAGCACTTCCCCTTTATTATTAGAACAGCAAAAGTCTCATCTTATTGTGTAAATGCATATTTACTCAGGATTTCCTTAACCATAGTGTAATAATCACTAAATTACACTTACATGAAGATTTGAGTATTTCAGTATGAAGTCGCAATTCTTTTTTACTGTTTATGTTCTGCTGTATATATTTATTTGTAATAGCCTAAAATGAGAATTTTGACCATATTTCAATGTAAAAAAAAAACAAACAAAAAAAACTTGACTTTAAAGTAGGGAATTAAAAATGTGTAACTCTAAGGAAACAGGCAATTAGCAGAAATTATAATGATAATATAATAAAACATCAATTTGTTTGCTTATGTTAATAAACTAACAAGCAAAAGAAAATTCCTTGCTATCTCCCTATTTGCTAAAACCCCTGCCTGCTTCCTTAGAGTGTGGGTAACAGCCATTGTGCCTTGTTTCTGTTGCCCCACAAGAGATGACGGACACAAGGCCATCACGCCTAGTTCACAAGCCGCGAGTTATTAGACCCCCGTTTTTCAGAAGGGGTAAGTTGATCAAAATCTAGGGCTGCATGGTGGTTTGCTGCTCTTGATAATGATGATGATGATGAGTCTCAGACAATGTTTTGGAGGTCTGAGGAATGGTGTTGTTCTCCCACCATGAAACTGGCTTTTATCAGCATGCACTAACACCGCCTCTGAGCATTTCTCACTGGGACACAAGTCATCTTTTTTTTTAAGTAACACTTTGTCACGCCTCATGATTAAAATATGACTTAAAATGTTTCTACTCATCTAAGAAAACCATGAGCACTCCCTTTTATATTTTGGATTTCAATGCTATGTGCCCATAAAAGTTAAAACCTGTCACATGAAGTGTCTTGTGAGAGAATCCCTATCTCTTGAACTTTTTTTTTCCCCACATTTTATAATGTTATATTTGGGATTTTATGCAATAGACCAACACAAACTACTGCAAAATGATTAAGTTTAAGAAATATTGCATATTTTTTGGTATACATTGGTCTGGTGACCCTGGATTAAGATAGTCCATTGCAACCAACTGTCTTGAAAAATGATTTAATCTGTAATAAAATTCCATCTGTGTGTAATTCATGCACAGTTAAAAATTTTTGTTGGAGCTTGTTAAAAAATTATTGAACAACAAGCAGGTATAGGTTTTAAAACAATATCAAAGGCTGCGAAGTGCTGCGAAGATCCACTCAGGTGAGAAAATCCTCTGACATGGCAGCTATTGTCTCTGCAATCACCTATTTCCTCTCAGAACCAACCGTTTTGCCGGCCTGGTGGGTTTTGCAAGGTTTGAGTTTTAATCAGTTTATTTATTTTCAAGTATTCCATTGGTTTCTGACAGAATTTGAAATTTTCTATGCAGATGCTAACAGAGATGACTAAACTATTTTGATAAAAGTTTTCTTCCTCCATGTGTATAGCTCGCTGTTTGAGAAATACAAATTTGTTCAAGACATTTGATGTTATTTGATCTTTAAAAGTTTTTGAATTTTACCCCTCTTCACATTCATGCACTTCTTTCTGTTGGTCTGTCACACTAAATCCCATCAGTTTATACTGAGGTGTTATGACTGCAATAAAAAAAAAGTAAAAAAGTTCAGAGGGCATGGATACTTTTCAATGCACTGTGTCAGTAATTCCTTACATTTCCTTTGGGTGTTTGGGTTACACAGGATTGCCTGTGTATGTGTGCACATGAATATGTCTGTGTGCACACATACTGCTGTGTGTATGTCTGGGATGGATACAAGGGTCACAACTGGCTCTAGAACAAACTGAAAATGTGCTCTGGGCCTTCATTCGTTGTTCCTGTCTTTCCCTCTTTCTCTCTCTTTCTTCTTACCTGAGAAAAAGACAACATTCCACTCATCCTACTGAAGATTATATTGGAATGATCTCTTTTTCTCTGGATTCTGTCAATCTTTCTTTTTCTCTGAACCTGTAACACAACATACCAGCTGCCCAGCCGCACTGCTCCTCCCCCTTTTTCTCCTCCTCCCTTCTCCTACTCTTCCTCCTCACAGCTCTTCCTGTCCGACCTCTGACCTCATAAGAACCTCATGTTGACCTCTGGGCCTCCTCTTCTCTTGTCATCTTGTTTCCCCTGCGCTCCTCCCTCACTCAGTTGAGTGGGGACCCTCTCCTCCTCTTTAAATCCACAGCTCAGTGTGTGTACTACTGTTTGTGCACGTGCATGCTGCATGCTTTGCTGTTATTGTACTTCAGTGTAAGTTTGAAAGCGTGAATGAGCGTTTCGTTTCAGACCTGAGACTCAGCCATTAGCTGATGAAGTTGTTAAGAGACAATCAAGGGGGGTTGTTGCAAGATTACGCAAATGAAGAGCAGATGAATTCTTACCTAATTGACCTTCAATCATTTTGGTCTGTGTACTGATATATATCAGTACACAGACCAAAATGATTGAAGCTCTGGCCAAAAATTTGCATGCACTCATCAGTAATACTGGGTTTATATTAATTATTAGAACTAATTTGTCTCTTAACTTTTTCCTAAATGGTTTGCCATAACTAAACAGTTTTTTTTTCTGTAATTCATTCAGGATAAAAAAATATACATACTGGTTCAGATGCATATTTTGTTCTAATATTAACATAGACTTTAAAGAAAGTTAAGTAACCATTTTTAATCAGATATTATCTGGCAATATGTCAGGGCAAATGTTCCGGTCAGCCTGCTTTCTCCAGAACCAGTTTTTTATGTGGCGATCCAGTTGTATCCAACTTCCAGCTGTCTAGGAGTGGCTCTTGGACTAACATAAAGAGTTTAAAGATAATTCTGGTTTGTGTTAGTACCAGTACCACAGGCAGCAGACCAGAACTTCAGCATGACACCATCTGAGAGTTGGTCTTTAGGTTTGAAAGACTCAGGTCCTATTGCTTCATATGCATTTTATCCTTAAGGTCTTCAAGTCTGAGTGCACAGGTTGATTAAGCATGAAGGGAGATGTTGCCCTCTGTGTTGGTAGCATCTCAATTAATTTGAAGCATGACACTGGTGTCCTGATTAATATTGTCCCTGGGCCTATGTTATTACTGTTTTTTGTAAAATACCACTACAACACCTACAGTAGCTGTGTTTGTTCTTAAACAAATACATGCCGGTGGTCTAACAGATGCCTAGCATCATAACTGGTTCTGAAATGCAAAAAGCAGGCTTACATTAACATAAAATTATTTGAGCCAGTCTTTATAATTTG